ATCCCCCCCCCGCTCGTCCACCAAAACTTTAGACCCGCGTTTGTCTGAACTCCTTTCTCAACAACGTCGCCCAGATTTCAATCTTTGTAAATCTTAAGCGATAGGGCCAAATCAGAGAGCAGTGGATTGTTCCCATCACGCGTCTCACTTGGGTTTGCCTGACAGCTTCGAAGTTGGGACCTAGGTGTTCCATTTCGAGCTGCAGGTTGAGATCTCTGGCCCCTGGATCTGGTTCACTTGATCCGCGCGACAAGAATCTCTCGAAGAAGTTCTTTTCGAATTACCCTGCTCAGCCTTCCTCGTTCCTAAAAACCTTCCTCTCGACCGCGCCGGATTGCGGGGACGACGTCATGAACGACACCACGACCACCCCTTCTCCCACTCCAGGTCCCGCCACGAAAGCATCTCCGACTTCGAAATCACCCTCAGTAGCGGCCGGAACAAAACGCAAGCGCGCATCCGCGGCGAAATACTATGCCGTGAAGGCTGGCTATCAGCCCGGTGTTTACTATGATTGGCACGATTGTTTGACCCAGGTTACCGGGTACAAGGGAGCTGTCTGTAAGTGACTCGCGGATAGTCCGCATTCAGTTGCCTGAAACTGACTTGTTCTTTCAGTCCAGGCCTTCCCTTCGTACGAAGAAGCAAATGCTTTCCTCAACGGGACCCGTGCGCCCGCTGCGCGCGGCGGTACCCCCCTAGATTCTGAACCCACGAGATTTTACGGTATTCAGCGCGGTCGAATACCCGGTGTTTATACGGACTGGGCAAAGGCGCAGGAGCAGATCAAAGGTTTTCCCAAGCCGCGTTACAAGAAATTCTCGACCAGGGAGGAGGCAGAGGAGTTTGCAAGGGAAGGCCAAGGACCCGGCGCTACGTTCGGAAAGACCCCGGAATCGCAGAAGCTCGTCGGTGCTCCGGGAATGATGAACGGGGTCCCTGCAGATGCGCAGGGTATACCTTTTGAGGCGGGCACTGGTCCTCTGCCGACCGGAGCGGAGGATGGGTTTGACCCCAATGTATTGTTGGATCCCAAAACAGGAAAAGTGGTCTATAAATCACAGGACCAGAAGGCCGCGACCAAGGTGAAATCTACTGGTCCGCCGGGGATGCTGCGCATCTACACGGACGGTAGTTCCTTGAAGAATGGCAAAGCGCTTGCCTCAGCGGGCGTTGGGGTTTACTTTGGACCTGGCGATTCCCGGTTTGTCCCCCCCCTGACGCTCACCTTAGCGTTGTAGCGTCGTCCTTATCCCTGAGAGGGTCTACCTTTGGCTAATACTGACGCCTGTTCTCCCAGCAGAAATGTTTCCGAGCCCCTTAAAGGTAGTCGCCAGACCAATCAGCGTGCCGAGCTGACGGCCATCCTCCGGGCGCTTGACATAGCTCCACGACATCGGGACGTGACCATCTTCACCGATAGTCAATACGCGATCAACTGTGTGACGGTGTGGTTTACAAAGTGGCGGCGCAACAACTGGATGACCGCTGGCAACAAGCCGGTGGACAACAAGGATCTGGTTGAATCTATTCTCTCGAAGATCGAAGAACGCAATGAGCTGAAGGTGAAGACCTTGTTCGAATGGGTCAAGGGACATAGTTCCCACCCTGGGAATGAGGCCGCCGATCGTCTGGCGGTGAGTGGTGCTCGACGAGGAGTCTCGGAGAAGGCTGCAGCATTGGAAGCAGTCAGGGACATTCCGGACGAGGCTTTTGAGGAGGAGGATGACGACGACTTCTGAGCTACCAATCGCGAGGTTTCCTCGTAGATGCTCCCGGAAACAGATCAATGATGGCGATGGGTATTGTTTGTCGACGTACTGAGTAGACTGGTGTGATGCGATCCGTGACTTCTATCATGTCGGTCTCGAGAAATGACGTGTTCTCCCCCGGGCGGGAGGAAAATTTGACCTAGAACTGCAGCATGAATTGATGCCTTACTTGGCATGGTCCGGGCCAGCTGTAGATGATATGACCTGTATGACGAGCAGCTGAGAGAAAGAGTTGTTTGTAGAGTAGTAGGACATAAATTAATACCACGAGGGTGTGCCTTTCCCGAAAGCGGCACGGGCCATTAGCAAACCAAAGTGGAACTAATTGGGACCCCCGGGAACTTTTTCTCCTCTCCCCGATCAGCTTTTCTTCCTCTTCCTTCCCACTCTCCCCACGTACCGCTGCATCCTCGCATCGCTTCTGGCGTAAAGTCGCTCATATCGAGTCTGATCATCGCTGGAGGTCATTCGTTGCGTCTGTGCTTGCCTGCGTCTGCTTGCCTCGTGTTTGGTCTCTCGTATCGCTTTTTTTTACTTCCTCCCACCCCCCTGAAGTTTATCGGGCTGGAAACTCGTGCTCTCGACGACGACGTTCGTCTTGTCAAAGATCCAGCTGTTGGAGAGGAATTTCACATTCTTCCGATGCCAGGAGAGCTTGCCATCAAAGATTTCTATACTATTATGATTGAATAACACGTGCTTGTGACTTAGTTTGATTATTCTGTTTTTTCCCCCCCATTTTACCTTCTTTTACCCCGCGCTCCAGCTGGATAGCGAGTTGTAAACCTTCAGGATTCCGGTATCCTTGGCTTGGGATCAAGCCATAATCTGCAATAGACGTTGTGCACTGCACCTGAGGGAGCGCAACAGCAAGATGCCTACCCTATCGTTGATCAACTTCAACATCGTCTGTGCGACGCTGGGAGGATTCATATCCGTCTTCGGACTGGTGTCCTACCTTTTCAAGGAGAGATTCTATCTTTCTGAAGCATGTCCGTCCTGCCTTTCCAAGCTTCCTCCCGCTACTCCCGATCTCTCCTCGGCTATGCGTGTCGTCGCTGATTAGACGGTGGATGACTGACGTCGTACAGTGATTTCATTGCTAGCTGGAGTGATCTTCTCCCCTCATGCAGCCAACTTCATAAGACCCCAAGAGTATGCACTTGGTTCCGAGCAGAATCTAGAAGAGATCACCCTGTACTTCACCCGTCTCGTTCTCGGGGTCCAGCTAGTCCTTGCCGGGGTTCAGCTCCCCAAACGGTACTTGCAGATAGAATGGAAGAGCCTGTCGCTCCTTTTGGGCCCCGGGATGGCTGCCATGTGGATGTGTAGCAGCCTGATCATTTGGGCGATGGTACCAAACTTTCCCTTTCTCCATGCCCTTGTCGTGGGTGCATGCATCACTCCTACCGACCCCGTGCTTTCCAATTCCATTGTAAAGGGGAAATTTGCAGACAAGAATGTGCCTCGTCCCTTGCAGCGCATTATTGTGGCCGAGTCAGGTGCCAATGATGGTCTCGGCTATCCTTTTCTCTACTTTGGATTGTATCTTCTCAAGTACATTGGAATGGGCGGCGAGGGGTACAGTGGAGGCGCTGGGAAAGCTATAGGCCTGTGGTTCTATGAAACTTGGGTGTATACTGTGATCCTGAGTGTTGTCTATGGGATCGTAGTTGGGTGGCTCTCCCGTAAGCTGCTGCACTGGGCAGAGGAGAAGCATTACGTTGATCGGGAGAGCTTTCTTGTGTTCGCTATCGCTCTTTCTGTAGGTTAAAGTCCTGGCTCGGCCATTCCACGTTGCTAACCGAATGCAGTTATTTATCATCGGTACATGTGGGTTGATAGGCACCGATGACCTCCTGGCCTGCTTTGTTGCCGGCAATGTGTTTACGCAAGAGTAAGATATCTACACCAATTTGCATTAATTCGGTTGCTGACGAAGGTAGTGATTGGTTTCGCTTGGAAACCATGGATGACTCCTTGCAGCCAACCATCGATATGTTGCTGAATTTGGCGGTCTTCATGTGGTTCGGTGCTGTCTGCCCGTGGTCATCGTTCCTGAACAACAGCGTGATTCCCATCTATCGCTTGATATTCTTGGGAATCCTAATCCTGCTAGTTCGACGAATGCCCATCATTTTCGCCATGCACAAGCTTATCCACCAAATCGAGCAGTTCTACCAGGCAGCATTTGTTGGATTCTTCGGACCTATCGGAGTCGGAGCTGTCTTCTACCTGTCGGTCAGCCGGGAATTCCTGAACCAGATCACTGTCGATGGTCAGGTCCGCGAAGATGCCGCCAAGGTGTCCGAGGCCGTGAACGTCGTAGTTTGGTTCTTGGTCATTTGCAGCATCGTAAGTTCGCACACACCACCAACCTTATAACTAATCTTCTGACTCCCTCCGCAGATCGTTCATGGCCTCTGTATCCCCTTAGCAAAAGCCGGCTACCATCTCCCCCGGACAATCTCCCAAGCCCTCAGCACCAGCTCCATAGCTGAACCTGACCCTGTACCGATCGCCAATGTGCAGCATACGCACAGCACTGCGACACGCGGCGTAGGTCCCACGAACAACCGGAACCGGAAGCGCGGTCATGCAGGACGGGAACCGCCCGACCCGGCCGCCTTCCAGATCGGTCGGTCTGTTATTCGAACCATCTCTTCGCAGGAGCAAGTCCAGGTTGGAGCAGCGACTGCGGACGAACCTGCTCGACCTGTTAACCTGATTGTTCGAGAGAATGAGCAGGATAATCCACAGGAGAGCAGTAACAGTAACAGCATAATTCCGGCAGTCGAACAGCATGTTTAGTCTGCTTGGAGATGTATCTGGGCAGGATTCGGAGACGAATTTTTGCTGTTGCGAGCTGGAGCTGAGGCTGGAGCTGCATGGAGATCTCTTGTGATTGCTCTCTATTCACAGAATGATTCTCGTGTTGTATATACGGTGATAATGCAGCTGAATGGCTGCACATATAGATGATGAACGTTAGAGTTGAGGTGCATGTGTGTGGCTGAGAATTTGTGGATGGTCGAGTGTATAGAGAGGATGGGTGGTGTATAGATGGCATGACAATATGTGGGAGTGAGAGACGTGATACTGTATAAAGAGACGTTCTGCCTATGACAGTGGTTCATTAGAACTTAACGACATAGACTACTAGGTAGCTGAGTGAATATAAATACTGTCGTGATGGCGTGGGTGATGACTACTACTACTGGTCGAAAGAATGGAAGCCCATCATTTTATAAATATAATGATATTGCCCAAACATGCTTTTTTATCAAGTCGTGCCTGAAATAGATCAACAAATAAATGAATATTCATCCCACCCTAAACCATGCCTTGATTTTGATGACCACCCTATTTTGCAATCCGCCGTATCTCGTCATTAATATGATAGTGAGAGTATAGGAAAAATATGTGTGATTTGTGTTGAAACGAAGGTTTGTGTTTGTGTGTGATGGTGCAAAAAGGAAACAAGAAGAAAAGAAACAGACATAGAATAACCAGCCATGATGGGCGGATCTGCTGCACCACAACTGGCCCAAAATCATCTGGGAGTACAGTAGTTCCCATCATTTGACCTGAACTCAACTCCATCATAAGGCGTTGTTGTATCATGCTCATCACCATCCTCCGGACTCCGCATCTCCAACTTCGTTCAAATAAAGCGTGCACGCCAGCCGCCGACCAAAAATTCCACAGCCCTTCTTTTTTCTGGATAGACATGTCTATTGGCGGAGAAAAGGAAAATCATGCAGTCGTTATAAACCCGTCCACGCCACATCAAGAAAAAACCCATCTGCATCAGCGAGGCAAACCAAGGGGCTATGCGAGGAAACTAGGGGTATATATCAGAGCGACATCTCACCAGATACAGCACCGCGAACACACAAGATCATAAGCGAGATAGATGGATAAGCTACAGGGAAAATGTCATCAGGAACACGGAAGGGAACGGGAAAATAATGACAAGTAAAAGCAAAGCACACAGCAATGGTCTGGGAAATGCCCACCATTGGTGTAGATTTAAACGCGAGCAAACAAGACGGGGTCTTTGCGCGACGGAAGTTGTCCGGAGAGTCGGAAAGAAGGGCCCAACAACTCCCCGAATATCCGTTCCACTTCCGCAGCAGCGACCCTTGATGGTCGGTGAAAACACGGACCTCTAATGAACCGCCGGGTCGATGTCATGTTGTATGCGCAGTCGACAGACAAAAATTGAGTTAGTGTATATGGTTGATACGTGTTTGGGTAGGCGCCAGAACACATTAGGCGTACCACCAGGCAGCATTGGAATGCTGTGACCTCTCCCTAAATAAGGAGAGGACGGGAGGATGTAAAGAAGCAAATTGCGCTTGTTGGTTTTCTCTCTCGTCTCTCATAGTTCACCGGTCGCTCCTGGAGATTGACTCTCTCCAGAAAATGCCAAATCAATCGATGCGTTGGTAGAATAGCAGGTAAGCCACCTTGTTATCTCGGGATCCATACCGTCCAAGAGGAGTGCGGACACCGGAAGACGGTGCTGAAGCTGCACCTGAGGTTGATTTCTTGCTTGAATGGCCGCTGGCGCCGTTGACCTGGCTCCAGCCTCTCTCGTTATCGGACTGCTCCAAGTCGTCCTGGTCAATATGATCAAAGATGTTGGCATTCGGTCCGTCACGCTTGTGTTGCTCGAGCGCCGCCGCAAGAACCTTGGGGTCTTCCTCGCCCCCGGCCTGCGCAACATCCTCACTCCGAACCCGACGAATAAGAGTGTCGTCCAAACGGATCCATTCACGTCCGTCTTGACGACGGACGTCGACGGTGTAGTGGCCGCCACTAGCGTTCTTGCCGTGATGGTAGATGACGCCGACGAGGCGATACTTGGGCAGGCCACCCTGCGCCATCATGATATTGCGCTTGTTGGGCGGGAAGACCTCGCGAGGAATCTCCAGGTCGAGCGGGTATCCAACCTTTTTCCAGATCTTCTGGGTGCCTCTGGTCACACTGTCGTATTGGAACCGTTTCAGGTGAAGGATAAGAACTGGCGGCATAGTTTCAATAAAGATCTGTTTGGTCGCTGTAACATTGGGACCGCGGGAAGAATTGAAGTCCCCTTGAATGCTTTCCGGCTTAGTGAGTCCCTTGAGAGCATCAACAATATTGTTGATCTCAGGAGCTCCAATGTCAAGCTGAAGTGGCTGGTAGGGCTCGAGGGTCACAGAAGTCTTGTTACCAGGCACCCTGAACTCCGACCGGATCTTTCCACCGAAGATCTTCGTAATTGGCGATTCCAAAGCAATATGGCCAGATGAGCGCGTAACAGCAGCCTTCTGCTTGTGACCGACCTCCAGCCAGCCATCGCCGGACTCTTCATTTGCAACCTCTGCCTCGGGGTTCGCAGAGGCCGAGGTAGTTGCAGGGGCATCTTTGGCGGCACGATTGCACTCTTCGTGCATTTCTTCCAAAAGGAAGCCCAAAAACTCTTGAGCATCTTGCTGATGGCCTCTCTGTATTGATGAAACATTTACGTATTAGCTGGCATGGACCCATGAATTAGGGGATGAAACAGACTTACCCGCATGTCCCTAAAGCGTGGCAATTGCCTGATAACCTCGTAAACGAATTCCGGAACAAAGGCTTCGCCGTAATCCTCGAGCTCGTTTGGTTTCAGCCTGAGCTTCAGCTGTTCCTCAGTGTGTGCAGCATCAATGATGCGGAACTCTTTCATGAACATGATCCTTTAAGGGGTTAGCAAGACTGACGAATAACGACAAGAAGAACACCGAGGAACTAAGAATGGAGAAAATCAGGTTACTCACAATGCGTCGATCATCGGAAAGTCGCTGTTGAAACTGTGGGACGCCCTCCGTCCAATATGATCCAAAAATTGGTAGAACGGCACGCAGGAAACCAAGATTTGAAGCACCTGGAGGAAAGTCATTAGCTAGTAGCACTTCGTGCTGGCAACTTGGGTAAACATACAGAATTCATGTAGCACATGTTGCCGGTATTCACAAGTCCTCGGGGTTGGAGAAAGGCAACTTTATCGCTATACTGTGACACATCGTCTCCTAGTGTCGTCAAGACGTCGGCCAGAGACTCGCTCTTGGGCTTGATAACGCCATTTGACACAGCAGGCGACGCGTTGGGAGCACTCGCTCCTTTAGCGAGTGCTTTTGACCGGACCAAATCCGCCCACGACTTTGGCGCTGCAGGGGCAGGCGAGGCCTGCTTAACAGGTTCCTCCGTCTTATTCTGGGACAACTCCTGGGTGTCCTCACTTGTCTTCTCCTGAGCTGTGCCACTGACCGACTTGGGGGTTTCCGACGAGCGACTCGACTCATCCTTGGTAGCCTGACGAGGAGTACTAGGCGCCGGAACGACTGGGACCACGGGGACTACCGGGATCGTGGGTTTGGCTCCCTTGGACTGCGACTGAGGACGCAGAGGGAGGTTCTGTGCAACTGAAGATGGAGTTGTGGGTTGTGTCGAATTCGCAACTGATGGCGCGGCGGACAAGGTTGGTGTTTGGGGTTCCGACGGCGACTGTTCCGGCTCCAGTCTTTGAACTTCGGTTTGTCTCTCAGGCTGGTCAGCCCGGTGCGGGTCCTTGGTAGGAAGCTCGACGGACACAGATGACGTAGGGAGAAGACGGCTTTTCCTACGTCTGCCCGGGATCCGAGCAGGGAAAGGGTGGTCGGGAACGGAAAGCCAAGGTAGCTGGTGATTTATGTCAGGCGAAGTACTGAGTGCGTGCCAGTCTATACCACTTACCGGTGGGCGGAAAGGCTCCCTGGGCTCGGGAGAAACCTTTGCAGGAGCAGGAGCGGGGGACGATGACACAGCGGAACTTGGCGCTGGGTACACAGGAACAGTGGCGGGAGACTGTGCCTGAGTCGTAATGGGCAAAGGTGGAAGTCCGACAGGCGGAGACATGGTGCTTTGTAAAGGAGTGGAGGTCCTCGGCTGCATGGGAAGAGAGACGGGAGGAATATGGGCCGGCGCCATTATAGGCTGAGAGGGCGGATAGGCAGACACATACATCGGTCCGTAAGGGTGTTGGTATGGGCGTGGAGGGAGCTGCATGGCAGGATAAGGTGGGTACCATTGAGGGTATTGCTGGGGCGAGTATGCGGCCGGGGGAGGGTGGCCGTTCATATGGGGATGGTACCCCATGTAGGCAGGAGGGGATCGCATGTTGGGAGGAGCTGCAGTGTAAGGAACATCTTGCTGTCGACGAGGAGTAGGCATGGGTGGCTGCCCATGGGGCATTGCGGGCATATGATGGTTCATCATGTCCAGGCAGTCGTAGAGTCGCCTTGACTATTCAGCCACGCGTTGCCTCAATGGGAGCCATACGAGGTCAAGAAGCGAAAGGAAGCAGACTGGGGGGCGAGCACCCGTCTAAGCAGCCATCCTAACGCCCCGAGCGGGACACTGGAAGCTAAGACGAGGTAATTGTAGACCGAAGCTTGGCGCCTATTTGTGCTCGAAGGATCAGCGTGGTGTACGACGCAAGTTGGACGTTGCGCAAAAGATCGGGGAAGGGTTGGTTGGGCGAGACGTGGTACGAACCTTGTGCAGAACGCGGGGTCAAGCTATAAGGATATGTGGATGAAAGATGAGGTCGGAGAGATAATAAAGCAGGCTAGTAAGACAAGGAAGGGAGGTGGTGAAGAAAGAGGTAAAGGGCCGGACAGCACAATCGGGGGGAAGTGGGTGGATTGCTGGAGCTGAGATGGATGATGTTTTTTTGGCGGACGGCACGTGCCTGAGGCTCCGCTGCGGCAGGATCGCCGGCCCTGGAGATTCACCAACAAACCCAACAGAGTCTCACCAGATGTTACGTTCCTTCTTGAATCAGGTATACTTACTCTTTGAATAATAATAATAACAGGCAAGCTTGTTGTAGTCTACTATGGATTGGATCATGATCAAAGTTCTCATCTTCTTTAGATCTCTCTCCGATCAGTATTCTTTTGAGACTGTGTTGTCCTGATTAGGAAAGAGAGCTAGGTTACTAGCACCTTCCATCTGGAAAGACGCGCCGTGACTCCGAATGAGCCCAACAGAAAAGCTTCATCTATCTAGCTGTTTATCATTTTTATCTATTTGTTGTAATTGGTACACATATATGGCCATCAAAATTCATAAAAACACGTTCGACTCCTGACCCATGCTCTTCCCAGAATGTATCTGCAAACAACCCCCCCACATATGATTATAACATAATATTCGTGATATAGTTGATAAAAATCCACAGAGTACCGTATAGAAAAGATTGTAAACTATGAAGTAGATCACCAGGAGCTGATGGACGAAGACGCACAGGTAGTCGCACCTTCTATGCCCCTCTTTGGATATTGGTCGACATAAGTGTAATTTTCTTGTTCTTTTTCTTTTTCCCGCCGGAGGAAGAGGCTACAGTGTTCGCCTCAGCAGCCGATTGAGCCATGAGCTCCCTTTCTTGCTGGGCCCACAGCTCCTCTTCCCAGCCCTGCAGCCAACCATCGGCAGGGGGTTGTGAGCTCGATGGAGCCGAAAGTGTCGGAGCGGCCACGGTTCCCCACACCGTGCGAGATCCCGGGGGGCTCGAGGAGGGAGGAGGCGAGGCAGAGGAAGAACCTATATCAAAGCCAGAAGGCTCACCAGCAGAGCCCGATAACGGCTGAAAATCGCGGTCGGAGAAGGGAGGTTCATCGATGGGGCCAATGCTAGGCCTCTTTCGGCGCGCCGCTGCCCAGCGCTTTTCGTCCTCTTCTTTCTCCGCTCGAATGCGATCCTTCTCTTCTCGCACCTCTTTCTCCTTGTTGCGCTTCCGCCTCTTTTCAGTTTCGGACTTGAAAGTCTCTAGCACCTCCGGTACAACTACATCTCTCCAGTCACACTCGAGG